CTCTGCCGCCTTTCCAGGCTGGGGCCTGCAAGCGCCCCGGCCCCGCAGCCGGCATGCTGGGGTCCCGTGGTCAGCGGCTTGCGGCCCTCAGGCCCCCTCGGTCTGGGGGTAGCTTGGGAAAGCGCCCGGCAGAGTCGGGGCCAGGAGCGGGGCTGGCGTCTGCACCCCACGGCCCCCGGGCCGTTCGCAGCCGAGAGCCGTGCAGAGGTGACCACCAGCACGTCAGCTCCCACGTAAAATCCTTTCGGGGTTCAGAACAGCTGGTGACGTGACAGGACGCGGCTGGGCCGGGGCCCCAAGAGCCATCTGGAGGGGTGTCAGATGCCTGTGGGCCTGACTCAGCCCCTGTCCCCGAGCACCCCAGGGGGTGTCTCACTCACCTCAGCACCTCACCTCCCTCTGCCACCCTGCCCCCCACCCGCCACGGGCACCCTGGCCTCCGTCCACCAAATGCCTCTGTCTTCCCCAAGACCAGCTGAGGTGCTATCTTCTCTGTGAGATGAGCACAGACACCCCAGAAAGTGCAAGCCCCCCCATCACCAGTTCTGTTTAAATCCCTGTTTGGGGGGGCCTCCCTGAGGGCACAGGGGTTAAGTCGCAGCACTAGGAAGCTGTTGGCAGCCACTGTAGCGCGAGGTGGATCCCCAGCCAGGGGGTGACCCTCAGGGCGCAGCAGACCCCTCCTGTCTCCCTGCTGCCCCCCTCAGCAGTGGATTTCACTCCATCAGCCTGCTCCCCCACTCTCTTTGGTGAATCCTCTCACCCCTCCCCCACTCCTCTGGCCTGTACCCCAGTTCTTGTATGCATAAATAAATAAATATTTTTTTTTAAAAAAAGCCCTGTTTGGGGTACTTGGCTCCCCGCATAGTTCCTGGGCTCATGTCTGCAAGCTGCACTGTCCAGTATTAAAACACCCCCTAGTCTCCAGACCTCCCCTCACCTGATCTGTGGGGGCTAGGGGCGCAGAGCGGACCCCAGAAACACAAGCACCTGTGTCCTTTTCATGCTGACTGAAAGTGACATTCAGGCCGCTTCAGAATATTCGACAGACCTGCTCTGGAGGCGTCACGCTGGTTTCTGTGCAGGCATCCCGCGGGGGCACCTCCAGGCCAGACCCTCTCCTCACACGCCGGCGGAGACTTCCTAATGTGCAAAGAGATTAAAAACTCATTTTCTCGAAAACAAATGCCTGCAAGACAGCAGCCCACTAGGAGTGAGTGACAGCAGCAGAACATGGGGTGAGGCCTGCGTGGGGGGGGCGGGCACCCCATCCTCAGGCCGCGGTTGCTGTTGAGCATGAGAAAAGGGGGTGTCTGTGAGGGTCCACCCTTGTGCTTGGCCCTGCTGGGGCAAAGACTGACACGGAGCAGTCCACCAGGGGGCCCCCGAGTGGTCATCAGCGGACCCAGGGTACTGGAACCATTTTCCACAGAAGCAGCTGACGCCTCTTTTTTTTCTTTTTTTAAGAGTTATTTATTGATGCATGCAGAACTGGGGTGCAGGCCAGAGGCGCAGGGGCGGTGAGAGGACTCCCCAGAGACAGAGCGGAGAGCAGAACAGGCCGATGGACGAAGCCCACTGCTGAGGGGAGCCGCGGGGAGACAGGAGGGGGCTGCCGCGCCCTGGGGGTCCCCTCCAGGGTGGGGATCGAACTCAGGCTGAAGTGTCAGCAGCGGCTTGCAGGGCTGTGTTTTAACCTCATGTGCCACCAGGGAGGGCCCGCAGCTGACAGCTTTAATGAGTTCAGGAAAGTTCACATGCAGAAATTGGAAAATCTTGCAGAGCTTTTCCCCTAGGAGAGCAGAGCTGAAACATTTAGCCCCACACCACTGCCTGGGGTCCCCTGCTGATTCCAGGGGCCACTCGCCACGCTTGCCCCCTCCTCCGTGACGGGTCGGAGGTGTTTTCCAGAAGCCAGGGGGCCGTCAGCAAGGGCTGAGGGCAGGTGTCTCCCGAGTAGAGACCGACAAGCATGTCAGCCGCTTGGGTTTGGCTCCTGCTGAACAGTGCCATCACGTTGACATGCATTTGCCGTGTTAGTAAAGGGCATCAACGAACACTTTCAACTGCTTGATTTTAATCTCAAATGTGGTAAATATCAATGGCTAGAACCCTCGTAGACAAAAATCTCCAGGGTCTTCGGGGTTTTTTTGAAGGTTTGTTTATCTGTGCATACAGGCCAGAGGCACAGGGGCAGTGAGAGAACCCTCCAGAGACAGAGTGGGGGGCAGAGCAGGCGGATCCACTGAGACCCACTGCTGAGGGGAGCAGCGGGGAGACAGGAGGGGTCTGCTGCACCCTGGGGGTCCCTCCCCGGCCGGGGGGTCAAACGCGCTGCAGCAGTGGCTTTGGAGAGCTTCGTAATGGGGTGCTGTAACCCAGTGCGCCACCAGGGAGAGCCCCATTTTTTATTGATGCACACAAGAACTGGGGTGCAGGCCAGAAGTGCAGGGGGTGAGAGGACTCCCCAGAGACAGAGTGGGGAGCAGAACAGGCAGATGGACTGAAAGCCTCTGCTGAGGGGAGCAGCGGGGAGACAGGAGGGGTCTGCTGCGCCCTGAGGGTCCCCTCCCCGGCCGGGGATCGAACTCGCGCAGCAGCAGCTGCCAACAGCTTCAGAGGCTGCGTTTTAACCCCTTGAGCCACCACAGGAGCCTGAATTAATGAGGTAACTCTGCTCCCCCATATCACCCTTGCTAGGGTGTCTCAGAGGGGACCTGAACAGGGAACAGGGTGGTGCATCTTCGGCCTTCCCGGGTTGAGCAGGCTGTTGCTCGGGGGTCTGTCTGAGAGTGCAGATTTAGACACTGTGTGACACAGACGTGAGCCCGGTCTCGAGGTTTCGGGGGGCCCAGGACAGGGGTTGTCAGGCCCGGGGCCTAGAGAACACCAGGCGGGCCAGGGCAGGCTGGACTTGGTTCTTTCCCTTCTCTGAGACGGGTGGGGGGGGACTTTGGGATTTGAGGGTGTCGCGTGCAGATCGGAGCTTCTGCCTCTTCATCTTCACAATGGAAGCCTGTGTTGGATCCAAGGTTCAAGACAGCCTGTGTTCAAACTGCCTTGAAGAACACAGGAAGCACACGCAGAGAGGAAAAGGTGGGGTGGCTTTGGTTTCAAACCTCAAATAAAAAACAACCCCAGGCGACGGGGCTCCTCGGAAGGATTCTCTGGTGACAGAGGCCAGTGGCTTCCTCCACTCCGGCCCCAGCCTCTGTGCGGCCCGTGGCCCCATCAACCATGAGGGGACCCCAAGAGTCAGCCCGGTGAGGCTGGCGGGCTGCTTCACGCAGCCTGACCGTGGGGCAGGAGGCCACCCCAGAGGCATCCCGCTGCCCACCGGGGTCTGGGGCGGGATGAGCGAGTCCTCAGCTCCCTGGACAGCAGGTGCTGTTGTGTGGGTAGCTCGAGCGCTTGCTTCACCTTTACAAGGGCGCTTCGGGGTCACGAAGCACCTTGCAGAAGCCTGCATGTGGTACAGCGGCCCGGCTGTGGGTTTTTCACGAAGCCCATCCGTGCTATGGAGCCCACCATACTTGAGGGGCTGTCCACACCCAGCTCAGGGCTAGGGGCGGGGGGCATGAGCCGTTTGTGGGTCACCGGGGGGCACAGACACGCACCCATAACCCCACAGCACACGCCCGCTTCCGGGGAGCACTGCTCGGACGGACGGATGCAAAGCTGGCGGGCTGAGCGTCTGTTCTGTGTGCTTCTTTAGCGTCGAAGAGGTAGTGCCCGCACGTGGAAAACTCCAGAAGGGCCAGCCGGTGAGAAACCTCCCCATCTTATGCTGCTGCCGCTCCCCGAGGCCTCGCAAGTGACAGGCTGGAGCCTGCCTGTGCTCAGAGAACAGGAGGAGGGAAAGCTTCCCGGGCGCTCGGAATAAAACGGAGAGATGCGAGTGAGTTAACGGTGGAAGACGCCAGGGGGGCGCTGGGCGGGGGCGGCTTGTGCAAAGGCCCTGTGGCAGGAGCCAGTGAGGTGGAGGCCGGGAGGAAGGTCATGGGGCGGAGCGCAGAGGGCAGGGGGAGCCCGGTCTGCTCCATTTCCCTCAGAGCCAGGGGAGCCCTGGAGCCCGAGGGGTGGCGACCCTCAGTCACGCTGGGCTTTGAGGCTGCAGCCCGGCTGTGGCGCGCAGAATGGACTGCAGGGGGCGCAGTGAGCTGCTCCTGGGAGGTGACAGGTGTCTGTAGGGTGGAAGCGGCCTGGTGGGCAAGGGTCTTGCGTGTGTGTTGCAAGCATCCACTTCAGGTCTCTCGAAGAGCAGGAGGATCCCCAGCAAGAGTTTGCTAGGATGCAGGGGACACCTGGTGATTTTGTGTTTAAGATCTGTTTACTTTTGCATGGGAGAAGTGGGGTGCAGGCCAGAGGTGGGGGGATGAGCGGCTTCCCCAGAGACAGCGGGGAGCCGAACAGGCAGATGGACGAAGCCCACTGCTGAGGGGGCCGTGGGGAGACAGGAGGGGTCTGCTGCGCCCTGGGGGTCCCCTCCGGGGCTGGGGGGCTGCTGGAGGAAGGCGGAAGCCTCTGGAAGCTTCTGGCCCAGCCCCCAGGGAGCCGGGAAACAGCTGGGAGCCGGCGGGCGCCCGCGGGCGCTGGGTGGTGGCAGTCATCAGCCGCGGGGGGGTGCAGCCACGAAGGGGTCCGCCCTCACGCCCCTTCTCTCCCGGCCCCCAGGATGGCTTCCACGGAGGGCCACGGAGGCAGCCCCTGCGGCTTCGCGCGCCAGAACTCGGGCAACTCGCTGTCCCTGGACTTCGAGCCCGAGGCCGAGTACCGCTTCGTGGAGACGCTGGAGGAGCGCTACAAGTGCGCGCGCTGCCGCGCCGTCCTGCACAACCCGCACCAGACCGGCTGCGGCCACCGCTTCTGCCAGCGCTGCATTCTGGCGCTCAGGTGGG